TCAACTTCGCGCTGTGGATCGCCGGATCGGCTTTCACCGTGGACGAAGCGGAGTCCAGCCCGGGGTCATCACATGTGATTGCCGCAAGCCCGCCCGCCACCGTTCACTCTAGGCCGCCGGCCGCTGCTCACTCTAGCCGCCTGCCTCTGCTCACTCTAAGCCTCCGGCCTCTGCTCACTCTAGGCCGCCGGCCGCTGCTCACTCTAAGCCTCCGGCCTCCGCTCACTCTAGCCCGCCGTGTGTGACGATGCAGAACACATGTCCTCCCACTTTAGCGGTACTTTTACCAAATATAGTGCGGAGTCCCAAACTGTGTTTTGCACCATGACAGCCTTTGGCTTCCCTGTTATATTTTCCTCTATCTTCATCCATTCCCCTCTATCCCTTTAAAGGCATGCCCATTGCCTGTCCTCCTCCACCGCTGATGTTGCCCTGTCCAAGTTAGACTTCAGACACGTTGTGGCTGTTAAAGCAGAAAAGAACATCATGTTATATCAAGTCAAAATGTGGAATTGTGAAAATGAGATTGATGAGGAGATGATCATAGAGATCATAGTCTTACTTCAAGCCAGATACGTATGGGTGTTTTCTGCTCCATGTGCCCGGTTCACTTGCTGTTCCAACAACTCCCACTCCATCATCAGCTTTAGTAAAATAACCTGATAGCTGGGGATTTTACTGACTAACTTATGTTTTTTTTTCTTCTGTTGTTTGTATTTGAAGTTTTTCATTTTTTGAGCCCCTCTCTCTCAGAATTGCTGACATTTTTACTTATCGAATATTGTTCTTTGCGCGACCATTTCCAGATTACTCCAGAACAAAGTGAAGAGAGGTGAATGCAGACATACTGGGCAGCAAACACCTGATAGATACATGCGCATATCGTTCAAAAGTCAAATATAGAATAAATTCATTTGATTGGTAAACCAAATTCAGACTTTACGTTTCAATTTCAAATGGTAATGCATGGAATTTATGGAAAAGCTCAACTAAATAACAACGCTAATAAGTGGGGGGCATGGTGGCTTTGGTGATTGGCCCTCTAATCAATCTACCCCACAGCCAATCACTGGCCCCCTCCTTGCTCTGGCCCCAGGGCTTCAGCCCCGCCTAGCCCAATGGTTAATACGGCCCTGCATACATGGCTGTCCTTCATTTGCTGCAAAAAACAGAGGCTGTAACAGTTGCAAGTCATTGCAATCCCCTGTTCATGTTTTACCAGGATTTGTTTGACACATCTGTGCTAATAGCTGCGCAAAACAGACGTTCTTGTTAACAAATGACCATTTCATTTCTCTGACTGAAAGGGATAGTTCACCCAAAAATGAAAATTACCCAATGATTTACTCACCCTCAAGCCATCCTAGGTGTATATGACGTACTTGTTTCAGACAAATGCAATCAGAGTTATATTTAAAAAAATTAAATAACAATAAAACTAAATGTCCTGGCTCTTCCAGGCTTTATCATGGCAGTGAATGGGTGTTGATATTCAATAGTCCAATAGAAGTCCATCCATTATAAAAAATAAAAAAAAGTGCTCCACACGGCTCTGGGGGGTTAATAAAGGCCTCCTGAAGCAAATTGGTGCGTTTTTGTAAGAAAAATATCCATATTCAAAACTTTATAAACCATAATCTCTAGCTTCCGCTAACTGTCATACTCGCGTTCACGAGAGAGTGGCGTTCCAGTGGATGACGTAGGTCGTAGGCAGGGGCGTACATTTAATCTAACAGTTGGGGGGGACAATAAACATTAAATTTCACAAGAGCAATTTTTGAAGGGGACACAAATAATACAGCTAAAATTGTACTTGTAAGGATAAGTATACACAGAGGAAAGCCTTACTACTGTTAGTGTAGCAGGGAGACCGTGCCAAATTAGACAACTTAAAGCTGTTGTGGTCACGACGAGACAGCACTCGTGTCCGTTGTAGACATTACTATCCGTCACATTGTTGCCAAGTCTGCGGTTTTCCCGTGGAATTGGGCACAATTGGGGGGGGGGGGTACAATAAACAAAATTTCTCAAGAGCAATTTTTGAAGGGGACACAAATAATACAGCTAAAATTGTACTTGTAAGGATAAGTATACACAGAGGAAAGCCTTACTACTGTTAGTGTAGCAGGGAGACCGTGCCAAATTAGACAACTTAAAGCTGTTGTGGTCACGACGAGACAGCACTCGTGTCCGTTGTAGACATTACTATCCGTCACATTGTTGCCAAGTCTGCGGTTTTCCCGTGGAATTGGGCTGCTTTATCACTGTTGCTGCGGGTTGTTTTTCATGTCCGCAGGTTGAAGCGACCCCAATAACGTGTATTTTATCCCCTGGAATGCGATTTTTACTGGGGGACCCCCTCGAAACGTGGTTAGTTTGGGCTAGTTTTGAGTAGCAATTGGGCAGATTTTATTGTGAAAACCTGGCAATGCTTTCCCTCAAGCAGGTAACATTATTATTGCTAACATAGCGGACTCGTCAGAAAATACATTGGTAACATCTGTATTAAAGAGAAAATAATCACTTTATCCTATGTTTAAGTGAATAAAATAGCCTTGACAGCCTTACTTACTGGAGTTCCACAACTATTGACTTTGTTCTTTCTCACCGGACTCGTGTGTGTGTGTGTAGGTGATGTAAAAGAGGAAAGCAGATATTTGGACCAAAGCACTGTGAGGCAAGGGAGGGGGAGACTCAAAATATTTATAAACTTAAAACGCATTTTTGCCCCGTTTGCGTTTGTGTTATTTTACTACTTACACTATTATTTAAAGTATAAAACATTGTTATTTACAATACACAGCATGGTTTTTAATGATATTTTTAGGGGGGACAACCCTTAGATGGGGGGGGTCCTGTTCCCCCCGACCCCCCCAGGATTTCTGCCTATGGTCGTAGGCGTAGCGTAAGCTCCAGTGAGAAGTGATGAACGCAGAAGCATAGATGAGAGAGCAAAACAAAACACCGGTGATGAATTAGAAGTACAAAACAAGGATTTTTAAAGAAAAATGTCTGAGGATTTAGATAAAAGCCAAGTGGAGAATTTCCATTGCTGTAAATAAAACTTCTAGTTCTTGCGATAGCATATTCTCACGGGATCTTACATAGGTCTACGTTCTACGTCATCTGCTGGAACGCCACTCTCTCGTGAACGTGAGTACGACAGTTAGCGGAAGGTAGAGATTACGGTTTATAAAGTTTTAAATATGGATATTTTATTTCCAAAAGCGCATCGATTCACTTCAGGAGGACTTTATTAACCCGCCAGTGCCATGTGGAGTACTTTTAATGATGGATGGACTTCTGTTATTGGACTATTGAACATCAACACCCATTCACTGCCATTATAAAGCTTGGAAGAACCAGGACAACTTTTAATATAACTCCAATTGTATTTGTCTGAAAGAAGTCATATACTGTACATCTAAGATGGGTGAGTAAATCTTGAGGGTGAGTTAATCATGGAGTAATTTTCATTTTTGGGTGATCTGTCCATTTAAAGAGATAGTTCACCCAGAAATTAAAGTTCTGTCATCATTTACTCACCCTCATGTCATTCCAAACCTGTATGACTTCCTTTTTTCAGTGAAACTTAAAAGAAGATGTTTTGAGAAATGTCTCCGTGTTTATTTATTTATTTTTATTGATTTATTTAATTTTGTCCATACAGTGGAAGTCAAAATGGTTTGGTTACCAACATTTTTTAAATTATCTTCTTGTGTGTTCCACAGAAGAAGGAAAGTCATACAGTTTGGAATGATGTGAAGGCGAGTAAATGATGACAGAATTTGTAATTTTTGGATAAATATAAATCAAAATGTTGTTTTAAAATGTTCTTATTTGTTTCCTATGGAACACACAAGGAAACAAGGAACACAATTTTGAAACATCTTGAGGCATGTCTTTTCCAAAGCCATTTCGTTATGGCTTTTTCTTATGATGCTTTTTTGTAAATTTCCAACTGTTTAGTTTTTAGTAGAGAGCAAAAACTAAACTCAAAAGTGTCTAAAAATGCTCCTACGTCATTTTTCTGTAAATCATTGTAACTGTGGACATGCCCGGACTTCACTTGAAAAGAGAAAAATCTAATTTTTGCACATAAATGAAATGATTTCCTTCACCACATATACAATGAAATTATTGTCTCTTCCTGAAAATGATGTCGAGTGCTTTATTTTGTCTATGGTTGCCTAGAAACAAGATATGGCTCATCTTACCTTGTGGCTGATTTTACTTTTGTCTGAGGTTGAACAAATAATAACAGAAGTTTCATTGTGGATGAACTATTCCTGTAAAATCGGAATTGATTTGGATTTTAAAGTGTTTACTGGACATGTTAGGAGTTTAAAAAATGTGCGCGTGTGAGTGAGCCCATTGATAATACAATGGAACATACCGTGAGTCTTTGCC